TCAATTAGCATCGTCACGCCTAGTAGTAGTAGTACGCCTAGTAGTAGTAGTAGTAGTAGTAGCAGTAGCTAGATGATAGTCGTGATTCCGAAGGCCCCGGACGAGACCCTTGTGCCAGATGCTGGCCCAGGGTTTTGTGTTTAAGCTTTTGGATTTTAGGGCTTAGGGTTTAGGGCTCAGGGGTTTAAGGTTTGGGGTTTTGGATGTAGGGCTTAGGGTTTAGGGCTCAGAGATTTAGGGGGTTTAGGGTCTTGGATTTAGGGTTTAGGGTTCGGGGGTTCAGGGTTATAGATTTAGGGCTTAGGGTTTAGGGCTCAGGGGTTTAGGGTTTTGGATTTAAGGTTTTTTCCCTCCCGCTTGGCTGTGAAGCATGCACGGACACTTGGATCCGAAAGCAAATAGGCTCAACGCAGGCATACGTGTCGAAAACCGAAACGAAATACGATTTCAGGCACCCCACACAATGTAGACTGGATTCAAGGGTTTAGGGTTTTGGAGTTATGGTTTGGGAGGGATCGGAGGTTGCTGCTTCCTTGTTGAACAACGGACAACCCTAACTCTAAAACCCTGAACCCTAGTAGCGTTCCTCATGAGAAATTCACTAACCCCTTAATGACACCACTACTCTCTATTTGAGACTTTGAGGTCTTACACGGCGCGTCCTTAAAGGTTGATGTTTAAGGCTCAGGGCTACGAGTTTAGGGTGATAAAAAATTCTGAGATGGACTGCCTGATAGTTGCCACAAGTAGGGGGGACCGCAATGTAGACCCCAAAATGCTATCAGAATTACCTACTACTACAGGTAGGGTTTGGGGTTTAGGGACCGCCAACAGGGTACTCCTCATTTTGGGAACCCTGAAGCTCTCATATTAGCAACCCTAAACCCTGAACCCTAAACCCGCATTTTAGGAAACATTTGGCGGCGGGTGTGCAACTCTCCAACGCCTGGTTTAAAGCTCGAGCCAACGGATCGAAGACCCAAAACCTTTAAATCGGGAGCAGTATTACATAAAGGTGTACGTAGTGTAAACTCCTTAAAGTGGACCACGTTGGGGATTACAGGGCAATATTATAAGGCTTATTAAGGGGGATACTGAGGATATTCCCGGTCATGTTGCGGGCCAAGTACATCTATACAGATACAAGGAGCCATTTAATATTTGGGTGTAGCGGGTTCGCGCTTACTTCACGAGATGTGTTCCGCTGTCCTGCCTCCGAGTCGGGGTGAACAAGGCTTGTTAGGGTTTAGGGTTTAAGGCCCTACAGTTTAAACCCTAGCTTGGGGTTTCTTAGGACTGGGTTTTTGAGGGTTACTGGGGTTTGCCGGTTGGGACTGTAGGGTTGAGGCTAGCAGGCATAATATATACACGTGTACAGATGACAGAACCCTGACCCCTAAACCGCGCACCAAAACCCTAGTCCCTGAAGCGTAACCATTTCACGGCGATGCTACGGAGCTTGGGTCAATCCTCCCCCTGTATGGGCACCACAGGTGTAGGTATACTACGGCTTTATTAGTTCCATGGTAAGGAGCTATTACTACAATTTTCATACAATTTTCCATTTCCTTTCCCATTTAACTCTCCATTATTGGAAAAATATCCCTAAACCCCAAGCCCTGACCACTGAACCCTCGTCCCTGAATTCTAACCTCTAAACCCTAGACGATACTCCTTATAACCCCTGTGGTCTTCGCTTCGAAGGGGATGGCATGAAGGACAAGCGCAACTGACACTCAGAATTTAGGCTATATGTATTTAGTTGTATGCTTTCTATTTATCACTGTCATCAAAGTATAGTATAGTCTAATACATTACAGTGTAGTCTATAATCATGTAAATGATAAGCTCTACTTACATGGTGAGAGAAGACATCTAGCACAATTGCGTTTGCCACTGCTGTTTGATTTAAAGGACTCCACGATCCCAGAAACGTGGAACCCAGAAAAACGGTGTTTAAGGTTTAGGGCTGCTCTATAATTAGAGTCATGCAGTGTGCGCTGCATGTGGAAAGTTTGAAGAAAAATAGTAAATAGTCTCCTGCTCCATGTATTAAAACAACCCAACCCCTACGGTTAAGCATTCCCATGGTGCTATACTGAAATACATGACGAGCACTGGCTGAACAGCCAACTTCAGAATGCACTAGGCACTGTAAGCATTAGGTTAGCCCCCACCCAGTATCGCGACACAGCAGGACAGTACAGAGACCACACCATAATTGAAATGATCGCCTGTGGTCAGCATCAATGGCTGGGGGCCTAGCCTTTTGTTTTCTAGATCTTGAATTTTTTAGTACAGCCCCAAACCAGTCCTACAGAGCCGCAACTGGGTACTTTAAAAACATTGGTGAAGGGTTTAGGGTTCAGAGTTCTAAATAATCCAGATGTAATCGCTCAAAGCCCGGACGCTGTAGCCCCGCCCAGACGTTAAGCCTTGCGGCAGACCGTCCCCCAAAAACGCCTGCCAGGCAGAAGCCCCTTGTCCCAAGCACTCAAGCCCTTCAAGCTTCTAACCAAATTCCTAGACCCAAAAACCTAAACCCCTAGCACCTGAGTGTGGATCGCAAACCCACAGCATTACCCAGGACCCAAAATCCTCAGAGTCTGGAACGTTGGGTAAATCCTGGAAGCCTGTGCGGACGTGGTGGGGTTTCGGGTTGAGGGTTTTGGGAAAAATGTGGCTCAGGGAACCTACTGTGATAAGTACGTTATAAATGAGCTGTACGTCCCCTCATGGGGGTTAACCTGCTCAGAAACCCATTTAAAACAAAAACTTCTGACTACTGTAAACCTGAGCCTACGAGTCGCGTAAAGAGCCGCCCCAGAAGAGTCACAAATAAGACAACTGGCTGTGGGTATGATGTGGCTACAGGCGCAGTATTGGGACACGGCGAATTGGTAAGGGCAGTGTCCAAGCTTTAGTCTGCAAAGTTGAGATTGCTAAGATGGTACTGGGCAGAAAAGTAGTGGCAGAGAAATTGAGAGATGAAACAAGGGATGTGCTTTTCTGAATTTACGGCTGCTCCAAACAAAGGCACTAAGCGAAAGCTGACATTGTCGAAAGTGTTGACATTCATCCACGGATCGGGTTGGGGGAGATCTACTTCCCAACGAGCCCTTAGCCTTAACCTAAACCTTCCGACTGTGGACACGAGTTTCCCACCCTGAAACCGTGCATTCACCATCCATTTGGCTAAGGTACAAAGAAGAATGAGCCTAGCACATACAGTCCCCCTTAAGTAGGTAGAATATGGGATATATGGGGATCTTATTATAATATACCCAAAACCATCTACTTGAGGCGGACTATACCCAATCATAGATCCCGATCCTCCAATCCCAACAGAAACCCTCAACCTTGGATCCACGTTGTAGACCTACTTAGATTCTCAGGGGAGCTTGTAAGTTGGTTGTACATGGGCTTCTAAGATCTTCTAAGCAGATTAACCCTAACAGGGTTTAAGGTCTTTTTCAGAGGGTTTAGGGTTTACAGACTTTTATAACCCAAGCTGTAACCAACTTGCTGAAACCCCTTACTATGGCCCCAAGGCGTTCAAGCAGAACCTAGGTGATTGAATCTGCCAACCTCATAGCCCCCAGGCAAGTACCGTGCGGACGGCTTAGACTGCGGAATTTGGGAGTTTAGCTTGGACTTGCCTGAGGCTCCATTTGGGGGTTTCCCAAAATTAGGGGTACCTTTTTGGGGGTCCATATAATAAGGACTATAGTATTTGGGGGTCTATATTAGGGTCCCCTGATTTTGGGAAACTACCATTTTCTTACAGCTAGCCAAGTTCTACCTGGAAAGTCTTCGGCTACTGCTGGTACAAAGCATAGCCGTAACCCTTCTGTTTATGGAATAATACATTGGGAACATTTAATTTTAGAAGGGGGTGAAGGATTTTAACATTATCAAGGTTTGCGAGGGCCTTTTTAAGGTAGCATCAAGGGCTTAGGGTGTAGGACCCTTGGAAAATTTAGGGCTCTGTGGCTCAAGATTCAGGGTTACCGTTGAGGGAAGACCCTCAAAATCTCAAATTCAGGCCTGGGGCCTTGAGGTCAACTTTCGCCACCCCTCTAGAAAAACCCTGGCGCCTATTAGTCGCTTCGAGGACATGGCGCATGGAATTTATTGGGCATCAACCCCCCCGACTCCTACCTCTGAAAGACAGCTGCGCGGGGCAGAGCTTGGGGGCTTGTAGATGGATGGCTTGAATATCTACAGGGCATCTGTATTTATGACTGTGTGTAGTAGGGGGAATGTAAGGGAAACACAAGGCATGCGTACATCGGAGATTGTATTGCCCCTTCCATCCTACACACGGTACCAGCTAGTAGGACGAGGTCCCCTCATACAAACTTCGAGCAAATACATACGGTGGATGCAGGAAAGCCACCAAGACCTAAACCCCCCTAAACCCTACATAGTAGTTTCCGTGGTATTTTCCATTCTCCCTTTCTAACCCCAGTATAACCCTAGTATTCCCCCCGTGGGTCCAATGAAGCGCTAACTCCTGGGTTACAGAGAGGGTGACTCAGTTACTTCGGTTCTCAAGGGATGGCATTGAATCCTAATAATTCCTATAGGGTTTGGGGTTTAGGGTTTTTAGGGTTCACCTTGAAAAATCTCCCGCCGTTATGATAGTGGTATCATATGGGTGGTATGTATTATTAAGGGGTAGTGACTACCTCGTGGGCATGTTTTGAGTTGAAGGGATTAATTAACCTGGAAAGTTCAGAAAGAATTATGCTGCAACTTCAGGGTTTAGCTTAAAGGTCTACCTAAACAGTAGTTTCCATTTCCTTTTCCATTATCCCTATATAAGCCTTACACAACCTCTAAACCCTAAAACCTAACCCAGAGTCTAGGGTTTAGGGTTTAGGGTCTTCCGCAAGATGGCCCCCATCGGACTCCGTAGTTCATTTTGAGAATGGTGGGGTCTAGCCTCGTGTTGCGAGGGTCTTCTGCTGATACTAGCCATCCCGCATGGCCTTAGCATACCGTAATGCCATAATTCCCAAGATATCAAGTATGAGGTACTTGGGGCCATGCAGGTTTTTTAGTATGCACCCTTTAATCACCAAACCGCAACACTTCATTTTCCATATTCCTTTCCATTTGGTTCCCCACTTTTGGGCAGTGTTACCCCTCTTTTTTTTGGGAAGGGACTCTAGAGGACGCCCTGGGCAGTGTTACCCCTAAACACTAAAATCTAAAGCCCGCACCTAACCCCTACCCCAAACCCCACTCCCTAAACCCTAAACCCTAAACCCTAAACCCTAAGCCCTAAAATTCCTCAGGCTCATTCCCTATCCAAAGCCTTGGCTCTAAGGCTGCAAAAAGTTTAGGGTTCAGGGTTTAGGGGTTTAGGAGTTTAGGGGTTGGGAATTTGGGGTTTATGGGTTTAGGGTTTAGGGGATTAGGAGTTTAAGACTTTGGTGTGAGGGTTTAGGGGTTTAGGAGGTGGGAGGGATTAGGGTTTAGGGGTTTAGGAAGAAAGTTTTGGGGGATTAGGGCTAAGGGGTTTAGGAACTAAGAACTAGGGATTAGGGTTGAGGATGCCCTGATTCCACCTTGGCTGTTCACAGCATGGAGGCCTCCGTGGTAATTCCTATACACCCTGTCCTTAATGTGCCCAAAATAGATTTAGGGGTCTATTTGGTAGTTTAGGGGGCCCCAATATAAACGCCGAATCAATCGCAAAAAAAAATGCGGGCGGGTTCGCCTCCGAAGCATAGAATGGATACGCCCCCCTTCTCATCTTATAGTAATCCCCTCATGTAGAAATGCTGTACTGTCAACAAGGGCCTTCTACAAAACTCTGACTTCCAAAAGTCGGTCGTCAACAACTGGCCAACGCGCTTCGGCTGGTTGGCTTAGGTTACTGGAGAATTAAGTGGACGAGAAAACGGAAAATGAAATCGAAACTACCGTTGTGGCTAGCAGAGGGGCTCAAACTTTAAGTGACCATCATGAGGAAGCCATCTCCAACCCTAAACCCTAAACACATACCCACAGTGTGCAGCCCAGTCTTGCTGCCAAGCTGCATCACCCAGAGCAACACTGTTTCCGAGGATTTAGGGTTTAGGGTTGGGTTGGTCTAGTAAAACATGCCGAACAATGCTCCACAGAATCCTGTATGATAAAGTAGACCCCTGATTAATAAACCCCCTCCCCTTAATAGGGATTATCATAGGGATCCTAATATCAAGGCCCTCTAAAAGGAGGGGGTTTATTAATCATGGGTCTACATTAAGCAGTCAAGGCCGCTCCGAGTAGATCCTAAACCCTGGCTCTGTAAGACGACCCGTGCAATCTGAGCAAAGCCCTACACCCGTAGCCCTACATCAACCCTAAACCCTCTCTCTCTCTCTCTCTCGCAGGCTCGAAACATCAACCCTAAGCCCTAAAACCTAAAACTAAGCCCCTCGACCCTACACTCTAAAGCCTAAACCCCCACGCCCTTAACCCTAACCCCTAACCCCTAAACCCTAAACTCCCTAAACCCTAATCCTGGGTCCCGCGCACCAGTCCTACACGAGAGCTGAGGGTTGAGAACGGCCAAGATATGGCCAGGTTTCGCCTTCAAGGCTACACCATGAGGGCTTACCGTTTTAAAGGGGGGTTATAGGGGTTATATAAGGATAATGGAAAAGAAAATGGAAACCCTATGTCCCTTTAAAGGCATAATCTGCGTTTAGGGTTTAGGGTTTGGGGTTTAGGGTTTAGGATTTAGGGTTTAGGGTTTGGGGTTTAGGGTTTGGGGTTTGGGTTTTATTATTGGGGTTATATAGGGATAATGGAGAAGAAAATGGAAACTACTGTTTAGGGTTTAGGGTTTGAGGGCTTAAGGCTCTAGGGTTTAGGGTTCCCTTGAAAGGCTGTTATAAGGGTAAGAGAGGGATGTATAGGGTTTAGCGCTTGAAGTCAAGGGTTTGGCATGGACATCGCGGCACCAAGTCCCCCCATGCAGCAGTACAAGAGTACTCGGCTTTAGGCTTAGGGATTATGAATGGGCTACAATGGAGAATCGCATGGAAAGGAACATGGAAAACTGGTGATCAGAGGGAAATGCGGGGGTTTGCCTTTCATGCTGCTGGGCCTTTTGTATGGATTGTCTGGGGTTTAGGGTTTAGGGTAGCAATAATGAAAAAAATGGAAGCTACCAGATTTTGAGGGGTGTAGGGTTAAGGCCTTAACCCTAGACCGTAAACCGCTAGGGTTTGGGTTTGGGTTTGGGGCTAGGGTTTGGGGATGTGGCGCCTTGCGTGTTCGAGTTTGCGGTCCAATGCCCAAAGAAAAAACCCTGTAAGGGTTCAGGGTTTAAGGTTAAGGATTGGGGTTTACGGTTGAGGGCTTAGGGGTACCAAACTATTTGTGTTCCAGGGGCCAGGTGGGTACAGGCCCATTGTTGTAATAGGGTGGCTTCGTCTTCCAGAGGATTTTTCTATGCAACTCTCATATGGCCCCAGGAATCTCAGGGGACTGAGTAAGGAAGTAAAAAGAGGTTGGAAGCTGAGGAACCCCAATGAGGGGGCTTCTTACCTCCAATTTATTTATAGCCTACTCACTCAATCCCCTAACCCTTGTTCAAGTATGAAGGCTCAGCTTGGGTACTCGGTGTGAAAGTACCATCCCACCAAAGCAGAAGCCTGCATCGAAGCTTTCATAGGGCCATATGTCCCTTCACAAGCTAAACTGCTCCTGTGCCTTTCTTGTGTCTGGGACACGGTGCCTTGCGAACAGTCACGGCTATCAGATCACGAGCTGCTCTTGAAACCTATTGGGCTTAGAAATTCTGCTCATCTTAATTTCATAGCTACGAGCTTTAAATGATTCCCACCCACTTCTCACCCACGGAGTTGGTGGTTTTGGGGATGGCGAAACAGACTGCATGGAAGCCAGATCTGGATCCCCCCAACCCCCCCTGAGTTTACACCCTATTAGGGCTTCATCAGCCCTATATAAACCTTATTAGCTCCAAAAATCATGGGCTGGTACCTTTTGGGGAATTGTGCGAGAAACCCTCATGATAGAGCAGGGCTCATGAGCACTGGCCTACATTGTTCCCAGGCTGAAGCCTAGTTCGGAGTTTCTCACATGACATTAGCCTTTATCTAGAAAACCCAAGCAAGGATCCATGCATCACGGTGTCAAAACTCGATATATCTCAATTCATCCCTGCAACATAAGTCAGGATCTGTTAAAAGCGATCTGTTAAAAGAAACCGGTAAGGTAATCTAGAGACTATTCTCAGACTATAGACGTACAAGTATAAGGGTTGGTTTATGGGCAGTTTATCTAAAACCCCCAATCCTGAACCCTTTACCTTCGATTTGGGTTTAGAATCCGACGGCCTGGGTGTCCTCAAGCCAATGTTGCTGCGCGCGTCCAAGGAAGATCAAGCCGGCCTCGAGGTGATCGAGGAGGACGGATGGTTCCAACCACGATGGTTTAGGGTTTAGGGTTTAGGGCATTTTATACTGTATTGTTGTGTTTTATGGGTATATTGCGGTTATATATAGTAGATTGTAATATATTATGGGCATATTATGGGTATATTACAGTAGATTACCACCATCTGAGATTGAGACCCTGGGCCCCTGGTATGGGCCCTTAACCCCAGGGATCCTTATATAGACACTGTATACCCCATGTACCCTTAAGGGTCCCTGGAATCTGAGAGCCCATATTAGCGGCCCATACTGCTAAGTTTAGATACCAGCGGATAAGTTTAGGGTTTGGGGAGTTTAGATTTCTTGAATTGACGGCTCACGGAATGTTCAAGTTTTAGGCTCAAGATTTGGGGTTATAACTGCAGCACAATGAGTACCTAAACTAGGAACCAAGAAGAGATAACATGGGCGGATTCAGGGTTTAGGGTTTGGGGCTTGGGAGGCTTGGTGACCAGTAGTGAATCAATGCCTCAGCGGTGCGCAGGACGAAGCATGAACTCAAGAATTATCTATTTGCAATTACTCTGTGCGCAAAGTTACTCTGCACATAACAAACAACTAAACACTAAACTCTAAACCCTGCAAAATCAAAAGCATTTCGGATTTTGGTGTATTTGGGGTTGCAATGCCTGCCGATTTGATTACGACCCTACTGTTGAGTGGGGTAGCCTCTAAACGCCTATTTACGGGATTTATGTGCAGGGTTATAAGCCGACACAGCCAACCTTACCGGCGCTCAAGGGAGAATGGGTGAAGAATCTAGGTACTCTTGTGAGTTTGGCTGTATCATACCCTGGAACGGCACTGACTCTTGTTAGTCCGCGATGGGGTATATACAGTGTAGGGCTGCTCAGAATTTCATAGGGTGGATAAAGGAATTGGGTACACCGATCATGGGGCTTTCTTCTGGGCATTATGTGCGCGATATTGTAGAGATTCACTCCCCAACTCTCCCTTAAGCCCCGGCAAGCCTGTGTCAGGCCCTTCAAAGGTGTGCAAGAGTTGCAGATTTAACTACTGCAGACTATTCAATGAAGGGAGCTGTACAGATCACAAGCAGCAGCAAGCAATTGTGAAGACAATGGCTGCGGCACAAGCAACCCGAAACCCTTTTCTCTTTCTTGCATTTGGCCTCACCGACACCCTGAAACCCTAAACCCTGAGGTAGCAACAGCCCACAAAGACTTGAAGCCATAGATTCAAGGTTCAGGTCTTAGAGCTCACAGTCAACTGAAAGCTTTCCATACTGCGAAGCCCTGAACCCCGAAAGTGCTGCTGCAAATCGCAGCACGATAAGCCTGCTCTCAGACCCTACATAGCCAGCCTACTGCCTGTTTCCTAACCAATGATATCTAGGGAATCCTCAAAGTGACCCCGCATAGCTTCGACAAGATCCCTTTGCATGCACACATCTCCCTGAGGTTTCTCCAAGACCAATTTTTTGCGAAATGCTCCGTGCCCTGGCCCTTCACCCCTATAGCCACAAAATCCTACATCTCGCCTCAGAAGCGGCCTCTTTGTCTAGATCTGTGACGGTCCATTCCTGGCAGCTGGCTTTGTTTCATTTAGAGGCTATGAGAAGGGGATCCTTCGGGGACCCTATGGCTACGTGCGAGTAGAAGCTCCCCTCAAGGCGTCTCTAGCGATCATTCTGGGACTGTGCAGAGCGGTAAAATTTACTTTTCTTCACGTCTCTCACTTTGCGGTGAAGGGATTAAGGGGCAATTTTGCCAGCGCATAGTGCCGTCAGAAAAGGATTTGGGTGCACGTCTTCTTGTGAAGTCTGTGTTGTGGCGAGGATTCACAGCTGTTCCTTCTGGACACCGTTTTATGACTATAGGCCTACGGAAAATAATGCAGGGCACGGATGAAATTCGTAAAACAAGATCTTGCCTTTGAAGGCTGTCTGTTCCATACATCCCAATACAGGCCACAAAATATTACAGTCCTTATGGGGACTCACAAAAGGTACGCCTAATTTCGGGGACGCCCAATCCTCAGCCCTCATCCCGCGAGTAACCTGCTAGGATGGATATTTCTCATGTGTTGTAATCATCCTAAGATGCTAGAAACGATGCTTAAAAAACATAAGCCCTAGTTACCTAGTTGGCCTCAACATCTGCATGGCCCCTTCAGCGTGTTGGGATAGCCCCCGGAAACAAGCACATGCATGGGGGGGGAGGGAGGCGTATTTCTATATCTCAACCCTTTTGTAATATGGCACTTCTTATTTCCCTTTCCATTCCCAAATATACGCCTTTTTAAACCGCCAAAAATTCTAAATGACGTTGTCACTTTCATATTTACATTCCCGTAGACATCCCTTTATACACCCCTTTTGGGAGGAGAGGTCCCCACAACCACCCGGAGGATCCCAATCATGGGGGAGCCTGTCCCTATGTTCAAACTTTAGATCCCAAACCTGCAAACCCAAGCGTGAGAAATTCCCATAGGGTTTAGGGTTTAGCGTTTCAGCCCTGGTTAAAATTGAAAATGGCCAATAAGTCTGTTTCAAGCGGAAGGTCCTCAACAAACTCTTTGGTGGGTTTTGGGTGTAATTAATAGTAAGTAGCAACTAACGATGACCCAGCACAACCCTCCCTTCCCCTACAGAATCCCACTTACCATTTCATTGCCCCTTTGATTCTCCGGTGGACTCTCAAATTAAATCTGCAACCCTAAGCCCTAAACCCTAAACCCAATTCTGGAGGATCCCCAAAAAAAGGATGCTCAATTTCTGCAAATACCCTAAACCTATGTGGAGAGACTATGGCAAACTAGAGCGTCTGTATAAACACCCCAGAAATGTGTATCATAGTGTAACATCAAATATGTTCAATGTAGCCCCCTATAGGCCGCTTTAAGCCCCGTTAGAAAAAAAAAACACAATTTGCTGCTCCCGAAAGACCCTGCTGCGGTCCATGACTTGCTCGCCCTTGGCGTTGGTAATGAGCTTGCGCGGGGCGGCGGCGAGGACCACAATGACCACCTGGCGTCGAGCTATCCCCCCACCCACTAAAAGTCTATATAGAGCATATTAGGGGCTTCACAGAAAAATATGAGGTAGTTTCCTTACATAGGTGGACCCCAATATAAACCCCCAGGTACTATGGACCTTATTATGGGGACCCCCAAAAAGGTACCCCTAATTTTGGGGAAACCCCATAAGTAAGAATTATCCAGCTGTTAATGAGTGGGGGCAGTATCCACACCTGGCACTGTCAAGGGAGTACAGGAAGGTGGGGGATAGGCAATACGGCCCAACATAATAGAGTCTACAGTAGGATCCTTTCATACCTTCTTCCCACCTAGAATTGTGCAGTGTTTAGGGTAGTTCAGGGCTCCGATATGGAGAATCATAGGGATAAGAACATGCAAGATGAAATGGAAGCTAGGGTTATTTCTCCCTGAACCCTTAACCCAATTACAAGTGGTTGAAGCGTTTAGGGCTAGGTAGGCTAAACCAGAGTTGCAAGCAGGCAATATCCTACAGCCTCACACAATTTTAAGTACTGCTATGGATGACACTAGCGTTTCATAATGTGCTTACCTAGGTTTAGGGTAAGTGGTAGTGGTGCTGGGAGGGGAGAAGCCGTAGGCAGGCTTGGGATTTTACGGAATTTGGGAACCCTAAAGCATAAACCCTAAAGCCTAAAACCCCAAGCCCTAAACCTAATTATTCAGAGTCTGGGCTTGACGTCCCAAATGGACCCTTGGCCTCCAAACCCAACTCTACGGCCTAGCTTAGATCCCAAAGACCTTCAGTTTTCGGCATTCATACATGGGTCTAGAAAATCCCCAAATTGAGGGTACCTTTTTGGATGTCCCCATAATCTATTTTGGAGTCCCCCTGTTGAAGGAGACTACCAATTGAGGTTTATGGGAGTCCACAAACTGAATAACTTGCAGGTCTCAGCAGGTAGAAACCCTGGGACCTTTTGTAACCTGAAACTTGACTCCTGAGTGCTGGTACCTGCACCGAAGCGCAGCATTCGTGGCCAAAATCCTTTAGACCCTAAACCTGATTTGGAGATTATCAAGAGTATGGTCACCATGGTCATCACGGTACCCTTACCTCACTGTGAGTTTTCAAGGGATAAGGTCTGTGAAGCAGGATCATACAGCGGCAAGAGCAATCACCAACATTGTGGTTCTACATTCCATGATCCATATAAGCTCCTGTAAAAACCCTGTTTCCATGTAATTGTCCATCTTTTCCATGTGAGTCTCCATCATTGGGGCAATATCCCTAAACCCTAAACCGCTAAACCCGAAACCCTATCCCTGAACCCTAAAACCCTGAAGCCAAATGTGGCAACGCGGGCCTTGTCCTTATCTCGGGACAGCCTGGGCGCCGCACAAAGCACAGCTGTGGGCAGTGGAGCGGGCTCATATTGAGGGATTGTCCTGAGTTTAGGGGTTAGGGTTTAAAGATTAGGGGTTTAGGGTTTAAGGTTTGATTAGCTGATGAGGGTTTAAGGTCTAGGGTTTAGGTTCGGGGGATGTATTCAAGAACAACTCTAGGTGGGTAGTTACCGGGTGGGTGCCCCCATATATGGCGCATTGAATGCACATATGAGGGTAACAGGGCTATATGAGGTTAATGGAAGCCTCCTATTAACGCACCCATCTGATATCTACCCAGCTGGAATTCTCTTCGCTATACAAGGAGATGTAATTATATGTAGATGGATAGGATTGAGGACAATCAGGGACATTTGGGGTTTTAGGGTTCGGGCATGGACGAAATACTTTGCAAAGCTCATTCAAAGACCCAGATGCAATCAAGAAAGCGGTTATGCGCCCTCTTACAACAACGAAAATACCTTGGGCCAGTATAGGCTCTGGCGAAAATCTTCACAAAGCTGCTATACAAGGTAGCTAGTTGGAGGCGCACAGAGGCCTATGGGAGAAGTACCCGCCTGTAGAGGGCCTGGACCCTTCAAACTGAGAAACTCCCTTCCTGGGAGCCTCACAGCTTGGCCAAGTGCCGCAGTTGCACAATTTCCTCCGAGCTTGAGACGTTGAGTTTAGGGTTTAGGGTTTAGGGTTTAGGGTGGTATAGCTGGCAGTTTAAGGAGAGGGGCTCGTCACAACTAGAAGGCACTAACTAAAGACTTCTCGGCTCACTGCAAACAAAAAAGGATCCACGACAGAGACTCCAGGTAGGTTGGCTCTGTGAGAATCATTGGGTTTATGGTCCCCCTTAAGTAGATAGAAGATGGCTTTGGGTATATTATCATAAGATCCCCATATACCCCATATTCTATCTACTTAAGCTGGACTGCAGCCTTTGGGGCTTGGTTCGGTTTACCCAAAAAGTAGGGATATGGCCAGGGCGGGTCGTTTTCTCCTGAGGCACGGCCAGGGATGAAGGGCGGGTTTAGGGTGTAGGGTTTGGGCTGAGGGTTTAATAGTCCCCCTTCAGTAGATAGAATATAGAAGCCCTAGGTCCCTTTAAAGGGATATCATAGGGTTATAT